CAAGATCGTTTTGTTTCATTCTGTAGTAGTCTGTCCAAAGTAGCTGTTTCTAGTTTAATAAAAATAAGTACCAATAATAATTGTAATAGTAATACTTTCTATAATTTTGAATAAAATCATTTTTCTATAAAAATATATTTTTGTAGATTTGAGTATAATCATCTACGTAGGCCTGTCACGATAACAACTTTTTGTTGTGCGATATATTACCCCAGATATAATTGCGATAAGCGATATTATTGTCATTTTAAAGACCATTTTATGCCACTGAATATATAATCGTAATGTAACAGCATAATAATGCAAGAAGGCCTACACACTTCCAAATGACAACAAACTTTTAATTTTTAAGAATATTTAGATCATGGAAATTAAGTATCAAAATATTAGATACCTTAAAAAACCTGAATAAATAGTAAATAAACATTTTCTAACAAAAAGTGCAAAGTAACAAGTAGAAAAAAAATACACAAAAAAATTATGGAGATTTTTCCATCTACAGATTTTTTGAGGTCATGTACATATATTGCGCGATAAGCTGATATATTGATTATTGCGACAGGCCTACATCTACGTATTAAATGGGGATTTTGACTCTTCAAGAGGTATTTCACTTTTATTCAGGCTAGTTTTTTACTTATCTACTAGAATATACAGTGGTGTGAAAAAGTGTTGGCCCCCTTCCTGATTTGGGGGCCAACACTTTTTCACACCACTGTAATTGAGCAATTATACAATTATAAAAGCATTTTTAGAATATATTAGCATTACAATACTATTAGAATATATAATTTAGTGATGAAATGTATATTATAATATCATGTATAAAATTTGATAATAATAATACAATTTATTATTTTTTTTATTATTATTATTAAAAATTAAAATGTACAATTTAAGAAAATCACATTAAAAATGTGTATAATTTGGTTTATGCATATTATTATTATTATTATTTTTTTTTTTGTTGTAAGCCAAGCTATATAAATATTTCAATTGCATTTTTTAATTTTTTATTAAATAAAAAATTATTTTATTTTAGTCACAATATCATTTTGTTTTCATTCTGCTGTAGTCTATCTAAAGTAGCTGTAAACACTCCCAAAATGTAGCTGACTGTGTAGATGTTGAGGCAGCTTGCTACATTTTTAACAAAGGTTAGAGTATCCAGGAGCTTTGGTTAACCGTGGATGAACATTATGTATCAAACCAAGTGAAAAGAGATGGAGCGTCAAGGTCTGTTTCATCTTCAGTGTGGTATAGCTTCCAGTTCCTCATGATTAATAGTGTGCAAACATAGTCAGAGATGTTTCGTTCTGTTAGTTACAGATGGTTTAGAGATGATTACAGATGATTCTCCAGACTCTACGGGCCAGAGTCCCAAACACAGATTAGGGCTAGTGCTAAAAAGGATTTTCACTGCAGAATTACTGATGAGATTGTAATTTAGTTCAGATTCAGGGTTAATCTGTGTCTGGGATTCAGACGCTCTACTATAAATATGGAATTAGTTATAAATGTTGTGAAATATTATTATTTCAACATTATTATTATTATTATTATACAATTATTATTGTTGTTGTGTTAATTACTAAAGTGTGTCAGCAACATACAGGGTTGCTTTCTGATATATGGCTGTGACAGTTGTCAGTTTTGGACTAATAAGTCATCACACATCCACTAAAAATGACCTGTTCTGGTTAAAATTCACTGCAAAAATGTTTATCATCTAATGCATTGACATTCAAACATTTAAGTGTGTCTACATACATTTTTTGTTCACTATGGTTGAGCTTTTGAAAGCTCATTTGTGTGTGTTGCCATTGAATTTTTAAATTGGTAGTTCACCTTTTTAGAGAGGTAAGGATGTCTTTCTCCCTCTCTTTCTTGCTGTTTATCTTTGCTCAGGTAATTAAAAACCAGAGAAAGTATTTTTCGGTCACTGAACACTTTTGAGCCTCTCTGGCGACGCTGCGGCTCAGTTAACAGCTGCTGTACTCTTACCGGGGAAGGATTTGAGCTCTGTCAAGGACTCCACATCCAGGCTGAATGTGCTGGTGCCGAAAACCTGTATAATTAATTCATCGGACCTACTTTGTTATGTTGGCTTCCGAATTTTAAAGTCAAATCGCACAGATAGGATGCAGCTGCATGTGAAACTCAGGGACATGCAATTTGGGCTGTGAGGCTTTTTGGATGAACAGAAATGTTGGTCGATGGGATCGTAACCAGATGAGTGTCTCGAGGAGATGCACTGAACTCAAGAACGGCTTGAAGTTGTCATTCTGTGAAAATATTCTGTTAGATCCAGGTTTTAGTAGTTCAGTTCACTATATTTACAATTGCATGAGGAAACATTAATGTGAGCTACACTTTTACATTTTCTGAGGATTGCTGCTTGCAAAATGTACTTCTATAATTCACACATCTTCTTCAGTGGTTGCCAAGTCATTGCGATGCGGTTGCTAGGGAAGTCCGGGTGGTTGCTAGGATGGGTATCGTGAGGAATTCTGTTTCTGATTGCACTTTTACTAGTATTTTTTTAATTTGAATTTAAATGTTTAAAAAGAACAGGGTTGCTAAACCAACTCATAAGACTCATTCCTTTGTTAGATTACACTGAATATGTTGAATGTGTTACATTCGTTAAAGGGGTGCTATTATGCTTTTTCACTTTTTCAACTTTAGTTAGTCTGTAATGTTGCTGTTTGAGCATAAAAACGATCTGCAGAGTTGCAAAGCTCAAAGTCCAATTCAAAAGGAGATATTTTATTTAACATAAATCACTTTTCAAAAACTACAACGAACGACTCGTTTGGACTACAACGCATATTTTCCGGGATTTGTGATATCACAAATATCAACGAATGGGACAAGACCTGGTTGAGTTGCAACGAGTGCTATCACTATGTCAGAGACATGCTAGCTTTCCCAAGGCAGACGAACTTAGAGTGGTTTCAATCATCCGGGTTTAAATCACGCTAAAATTGATTTGATTTTGACGCAGTATTTACACTGAAGCTCGCAGGCTTTAAAATGAACCGGCTCGCTAAAAAGAACCAAGTCGTTTTATGGGGAATCACTTGGACTGCACTAATTGCACTTCATGTTTTTGATTCAGTGATCAGAATTGACTCATTAGAGTAATTCTTTTTGGAATTTGTATGTTATTGATTCACTAAAAACCAATTCAGTCAACTCATCAGACTCATTAATTTAACAGGTAGATAACACTGGTCATGTTGACTTATATTTGCTAAAAAGAACTGATTCACTAAAAAGAACCAAGTCATTTTTGGGGGAATAACTTGTACTGCACTGATTGCACTTTGTTTTTGGCTCACTAAAAAGAATCAATCCACTCATAGGAGTCAGTCATTAGGGAATCGTTTGGACTATACTCCTGACACTTCGTGAATGTGATTGACTAAACAGAAACAACTCATTGGAGTCATTCTTTTTGGTATCGATGGAATAAACCGGCCCCACTGTATGTTTTTGATTAACCTAAAAAACAACCAACTCATGGGGATCATTCATTTGGGAATCGATTGGAGTGGACTATACTCATTGCACTTTGTTTTAATTTCACCAAAAAGAATCGACTCATCATTTGGGAATCGATTGGACAATACTAATGACACTTCGAATGCTAAGAATCGTTTGTTTGGGAATGTGCCAGAGTTTCTGGGTGCTCTGTGAATCTTATGAGTACTCTATCATCATTATAATCTTATAACACGCACACAGAAGTTCTCAATTAGGTCAGAGCCTCTGTGTGGGCATCCCAGATTGGCCTGTGCCCCATAAAAGCATGAAATCCACTGCAGAAATAATTTCTGCTTTGTGATCTCAGGCAGGTGAGATAACCTGATTAAACACACCTATCCCATAATCCCCTCTGAGTGGAGTGAGCAATGATGACATCATTATAATAGATATGAGAGCTTTCATGGCGTTTGCTTTTGCGAGGAATGCTGATTACACAAGACGTGTCCTCTTTCTCTCTCCGCACTCTCTCTCTTTTTTGACATTTTCTAATATGCTCATAGTCTTGTCACTTCTTCTTTTCCTCTCACATATCCGTCACCGTCATTTGGTCTCCATATTTTTAATTTATTCCATATTCCTTGACTTTTTTTGGCTCAGGCAGCCTTGACTTCAAAGTAGCGTACGTGTTCATCAAAGCGAGTCTCCTCAGGTGAGCCTCTTGGTCGAACGCTTAAGCAAGAGAGACACGTCACTTTTATTAAACCTTCCCACGGCGTTGAACTTCAGAGCAATCTGGCAACCCTGCCCTTATGAGCTTAAGCTGAGGTCACACTAGGCTTTGAGCAACTGAAATTACTTCAGATCCCACAATGCTGCAAACCAGGCAGCTTTTACATTTGTGCTCTCTTTGAATTCAGCCAAAAGGTCAATCTGTGACATTTACATCTACTATGGGTCAAATGTCTTCGCACTATACAATTTTAGCATCACAAATGTGTATGAAAGGGAATGGTGTGTTTTTTTTCTGTTTGCTTAAATGCATCATATATGGACCTGAAATGTCATTTTGTTGTAAACACCAGTGTTATTTTAGTATTTGAGATACTGTTAACACTTTATAATAAGGTTTCATTTGATAATATTAGTTAGCATGAGTTAACAATGAATAAGACCTCTACAGCATTTATTAATCTTAGTTAATGTTAATATCAGCATTTATTAATACATTTTTAAGATCAAAAGTTGTAATTGTTAACATTAGTTAATGCACTATGAACTAAAATGATTTTTTTTATTAAATAAATAAATAACAATAGAAACATTTTAACTTTCTAAATAACATTAACAAAGGTTAATAAATGCTGTAGAAATATATTGTTTGTTATTAGTACGTGAGTTAATGCATTAACTAATGTTCACTAATGAGACCTTATAGTAAATATATGTTTTAGTTTTAATTGAATAAACCTGAGTTATTGATAATTAATTGTGTTTTTTTGTTGTTGCAGTGCTGGCCAGTTTTCGAGGAACGGTGCAGCATGGCTTGCCTCTGGAGATCGGTGACACAGTGCAGATCCTGGAGAAATGTGAAGGTACATAATCACTGACGTCAGCCCTCTTTTACATTTATTTCAATAGTAGAAACCCCATTTTTGTGTTTACACCAGTTTGGACCAGCTTCAGTTTCAAAATGGTTAAGATGGACAATGCTGGTCTGTTACTTGCACAAGCTGATTTTTGTGGGTAGACCTAAGGATGAAAGTGCTGAAAACTTGTAATCAGTGATAGTTTTAACTGGTCATTTAAGCTCACCAGCTGATTTAAACTGTCTAAGCTGGTATAGGCGTTTTTTCATTTCAGCAGGGTTGCTTGAGTATAATGTTGCCAGATTGGTCTTGGAGCTTGCCTACTGAAAAGACCAGCAGTTGGTCACCAGCATATGTTGTTTTGGTTGTGATGTGCATTTTTGTTTCCACCAGGCTTCTTAAGCAGCAGGACTTCCTTTTTCATTCAGCTTTACCAGGAAGTTCATGCAGGTTGAACAGCTTCATTCATTCAAGAAGGGCTGCAACTAACAATTATTTTGATATACAACTAATCTAATGATTATTAGAACGATTCGTCGACTATTCAGCCAAATTTTACTTCAGTTAAAGGGATAGTTCACCCAAAAATGAAAATTCTGTCATCATTTACTCACCCTCATGTCGTTCCAAACCTGTATGAGTTGCTTTCTTATGTTGAACACAAAAGAAGATATTTTGAAGATTTTGAAGATTGCTGGTAATCAAACAGTTGGTGGTTGCATTTAGTATTTTTTTTTCCTACTATGGAAGTCAATGGCAACCACCAACTGTTTGATTACCAGCAATCTTCAAAATCTTCAAAACATCTTCTTTTGTGTTCAACATAAGAAAGCAACTCATACAGGTTTGGAACGACATGAGGGTGAGTAAATGATCATTTTTGGATGAACTATCCCTTTAAGAGGTTGCATTAGGCATGTGCTAACTAGCAATACAGACAATGAAACAGGGTTAACATTAAATGTATTTAAAACATATATGTTAATTGAAATAAAGCTGAAATAAAATATAAATATTAGATGGAAAAACGTAAACTAAATGAAAATTAGCAGTTTTCTTGACAACGAACTGTGTTGAAGCACTAAAATTGAGCACTAAAACTAGAAATAAAAACTAAATAAAAAAATTAATTAATCCTTAGTAGTTTAGGTTTTTTATTTAAAAAAATGACAAAAGCACATAGCAAAATTGAAATTACTACAATTATTAAAAATTAAACTAAAATTTAAGTGAAAGCTGAAAATATTAAAAATAAAAGCAAATTCAGAATGTCAATAATAATGTCAATTATTTATAATATATTAATAATATATATTAATGTTAATCTATAATATATAAATAATACTAAAATAACACTGCAATGAAAACATCTAATGAAAATACCATTTACTGACCTTCAACGTATTATAGGTAAAAAAAAAAAAAAAAAAAAAAAAAAAGATCTCAGATGAGCTAATCCACTGTCAAATTTTTGTAGCATTGCTCTTTTACAAAACAGCTTGAGGACATAGTTAATCAACAAAATTTGTCTTAAATCTCATTTTGTTAAAAAAAATAAAAAAATAAAAACCGTGAATCGAACCGAATCGTGAAATCAAAACCGTGAATCGAATCGTGAGTTGAGTGAATCGTTACATCCCTAATACGTATATATTTATTTTTGTATCGATTTAATGCATCCTTGCTAAATAAAAGTATTATTTCCTTTAATTTCTTTCTAAATAAGTAAAAAAATAAAAATAAATTCATACTGACCCCAAACTTTTAAATGGTCACCTATGTTACAAAAGCTTTCTATTTTAGATATATGTTATTAATCAAAGTTCAAATGTTTATCAAATGTTTCTTGAGCAGCAAATCCGCATATTAGAATGATTTCTGAAGGACAGAAAACCGTTATTTTAAAATGTAAAAATATTTCACAATATTACTGTTTTTGCTGTATTTTGGATCAAATAAATGCAGCCTTGATGAGCAGAAGAGACTTCTTTGAAAAACATTTTCAAAATCTTACGGATCTGAAACTTCTGAATGGTAGTGTGTATATATGTGAGAGGGTTTGTGTATTAGCAAGAAACCAGCTATAACCAGTCAGAATGGAAAGTCATTCTGATCTAAGAGGGTCTTTTCATCAGGGTAGGCTTGATTTGAGAAACTGCTGACACAGAGACACCTGTACCACTGCTCATTCTTCAAGTAAGCGGGAGGATTTGAAACCGGTCTTTTTTTGTGACCCGCACTCAACTCCTTCGTTTCCTGTTTCCACCCTTTGAAGACACACTCCTTTGTTCTCTGGGTGCAGGCGCTTCCTGTTTTTTTGAGTAAGAGAGCTGGTTTCGGGTTGGAGAACACTAGAAATGTTGTGAAGGAGAACACAAATCTTAGCAGTAGATATGAAACTACATAATCATTAGTTCCTGACTGACTGCAGGTGATAATCATCAGATGAAGGGTCATGTTTCTATATTCAGCTGCTGTTATTACACCATTTACCATCCAGAGGCCCCCTGTTTTTCACACCTTCAAAGTGTGCTTCTCGGCTTTTTGCCAGGAAGCGTTGATTGTGGGTTGGTTCGCAGTGGGCAGAAAGTTTTATCAGTGCTGGATATGTTCACATCTGTGGTAGTGCAGTCAAAGTGATCCTGAGGTTGACAGTATCTTGTTGGTCAAAGCATTGCTTAGTCTGAGTGGTGTGTCAAACGAGACTAAGTTTGGTTAGTTGGCCAATGTGTTAGAATGAAACCGATAGAGTGGGTGTCAGTTGAGTAAATATCGAAATATGCCTCTAAGTTCCTACAGTAAGCGATAAAAGGTGTTTAACAAGCGTTTTATTTTATATGGTAAATCTTTGGTGAAACAAATGCTGCAATTGCTATTTTATTACTCTAGATCAGTGGTTCTCAACCCGCGGCCCGTCACGAATTCAAATGCGGCCCACCGTGCTGAACACAATTAAAAAAAATAATTTCAGTTTTACAATTTATTTTAGTTTTTACATTAATTTAAAAATGTACTAAATAAATATAAGCTATAGCCTAATGTTTTTATGTAAAATAAT